AACATTATAATATGTAACACTACAAAACTATGTTTGTATTTATCCGACATAAATAATGTTTGACTAATATATGTTTGTATGTTTATATCAAATATTGTGTGATTAAATAATGAGCTTTTTATATATCCGACAGTTTTTATACTTATATAGCTCTTGATAGAAATATTTTCCAAAAGTGTACAATAGTGTACAGTCTGAAATTAGTGTACAGAAGTCTCAAATAGTGTACTGTACACTTCAAAAGTGTACGGTTGGTCACACTAGACCCAGGGTGAATTTAGCTTCGACCCAATTTTTTTTAAACGATTCGTCAGTATCAGCCCCCGGCCTGTCGTAGTATTTGTCAATAAACTTCACGTTCTTATACTTCAGCAATAGTCGTATGGGTTGACTCACACCCCGGGCCTTAAAATAACCTAATGTGGGAACCGATGTGTCGGACATATTGTATATAATAGCAATATCTCACTTGTATTAATCACAATGCTGTTATAGTAAATAAGAAAATAAAACATATTGCAATTTAATTAATTTCCACGTACAATAAATAAGTAAATTGATAATGGCAGCTATTACCTGTACGGTATATGTTATGTAATATACCTGTCTTTGATGTATTACTTAAATAATTCTCTGGTAACAAATAACATATTAATATGCTAATATATTGTAAATGTACAAACTGATTATAAGTAATCAGTTTTAGTTTTAATAATGTAATTTAACTAATTGTAAATTATATATTTTAAGTCCAGTTTTAGTGCACATTTCTATCAACAATGCATACGTCTAAAATATAGAATTGTCTCGATCAAAAATACTGATCAAGGACAAATTAAGGACAGATGGATTACATATCGTATACAGTTAATAATAGATGTCATTGATAAAACTATTTAGTGTATGTGTAATATTCTATGCGACTATAAATACAAGCGTTAATTGTATTGAAAATCACTTTCCAATTTACTATTACAGTATTATAACTAATTAAAGTTATATATTAATATTATATACAACATGTCTGCCACAACTTTCCCCATATTAGGCTATTATAAAGCCCGGGGTTTTGGTCAACCCATACGACTGCTGCTGAACTATGCGGGCGTCAAATTCATCGACAAATATTACGACAGACCGGGCGCTGATAATTTGGAAGCGTTTAAAGGTGATTGGTTTAAAGTGAAATTTACCCTGGGCCTCGATTTTCCAAACGTACCATACTATATGGACGGTGAGCTTAAACTAACACAGAGTACAGCCATTATGCGACACTTGGCCCGAAAGCACGGACTGGTGGCCACCGACGAGACCGGACTCATACGCCAGGATGTGTTGGAGCAACAGTTGGCGGACATTGGAAGCGGTTACGCTATTTTATTGCGAAGCAACGACTATGAGATTGAAAAAGTTAAATATATCGCCAAAACACTGACCCCACAGTTGGACGAGTTGTCCCGGTTTTTGGGTACCCGTCAGTGGTTTACCGGTAATCACATTAATTATGTAGACTTCTTGGCGTACGAACAGTTGGATCGTTTCCGTCTCTTCAGTCCCGATACCATCGATAAGTACCAGAATTTGGTTCAATTGTTGACCCGTTTTGAGAGTTTACCGGCGATTAAGGCATACATGAAATCACCGGAGTTTATAAGTTGGCCAATCGCTGGACCGGCCTATCCGTGGGGTTTCAAAAGATAGATTTATATTTAATTTTCAATAACTAAATCACAAAATAATTAAATAAATGTTTTAAAAATAGTTTTGATTAATTGATTTGATTGATGAGCGCCGATTTATTAACTAATTAAATGAGTTTATTAAATTAATATTATTCAATCAAGGGCAGATATTAGGGCAACCGCTTGAAATCGATTTGAAATCGATTTTGGTTGATTTCATAGATATTAAAGTGTAACGTTTAATATATTTGCTTACAAATAAGTCTTTTAGCATTACTCAAAGAGAAAAATACATGACGTTATACTTTAATATAGACTTTAAAAAAATAGGCGGTTGCTCTAGCAGATATACATAATAATTTCTAATAAGTAGAGTAAAAGACCGTTTGTGTGAAGTGATTAGGTTTTAGCATTTGGTTTACACAAATGATTTGTTCACACAGCTGGTACTTTTTTAACATTATGTCTATGCAGTGCGGGTTCTGGGTTTGGTACATATAAATGGTTAGTTCACACAACTGCTACTTCACCCAAATAATCTAATACTGTATTATAATATATATATTTGTACAGATGTAGTTCAGATTTAGTTCATATATTTATCAGTCAGTGTTTACATGTATAAACAGTGTGACCACCTCTAGGTTTAAAAATAGAGAACATTTGACCAAATTCTCTTTAAAATAGAGAACAAATAGAAAACAAATATTTTACGTTAATTCTTCTTCTAAATTTAAAAATAGAGTTTATTTAATACCAATATTTAAGTAAAATTTACTGTGTTAAGTGTATAAAAAATGCAATTATTAATCAAGAAAGTGTCAATTCCTTTATTATTGTATATGTCACAAATGCTGAGCAATCATACGATAGGATATGCGATGATTGGAAAGTTCCTTAAGTTTTATATGTTTTATAAGTTATATTTAAATGTCTAATTGTTTAACAGTTTTATAGTATTTTTCCC